AAAAGGAAAAACGAAGTAGAAGAAGACGAAGAAGGGAACGGGTTGGAGTAATCTTGCTCCCACACAAATTTACGAAAGAAAAAAGAGAAGAAGTAATTTGGGTTATTTTTGTAAATTTAAATAAAAAATAGAGTTGGATTGTACATCCCACCTCATAGGTGGCATACCTTGTATTGAAAGTTGTTAATAAATAACCGGGCCATTCCATTTTAACGGGCTTGCATTGTCCCAACCAAACATCTTTATAGGCTTGAATTAATAACAATAGGTCGGATATCAAATCCTATCCGGCCAACCAAATGACCCTATAAGTACTACTGATATATCCATGATATTTGTAACATCATATCAGTGTATATTTTACGTTTGTATATTGTTTTATTTATGAATTATATTTAAATTATTATACAATACTTTTTCTACCTTAATTTTTTCAAAAGTAAGTCTTAGGTAAAGACTACGTTTATAAAAATTCGTTCTAGGCAACATTGGACGCATTGATTTTTCTGAGTGTTACTAAATACCGCCCTTATTACTATTTACCCTCCCTAAAAACCATTTTGCCCTTTTCACTTAAAAAAAAAACTTTCTCTCTCTTTTCTCTCTACACTCTCTCGCCGGAAAACGGCCTTGCCGACCACCGAAAAGTTCCGAAAAAATGTTAGGACAACCCTCACGCACAGGTAAGGGATTATTCATTCTAGGGGTTTTTTTTTTTTTTTTTTTNTAAATAATTTAATTTTTTTTTTCATTTCTGTTCGCCGGCCGGATACCATGAAGCCGGCCGCAATTAGGAAAAGTTCCATGTGCAACTTGTTATTCACAAGCTTGGCTTGTTAAGACTTGAAAAATGAGAATTTTTGTGTAATTTGTTGATCTCTTAGCATAACTTGACTTGTTGAAATTCAAGTTCTACTTGGCAATTTGCTTAAATGAGCCGAGCTCAAATTCTATGAAAGGCTTGTTTAGGTCGTCACTGAATTTGAGTATCAAGAGTTGGAGTTTACGATCATTTTCTTGACCACCATTGGCTAATGTAGCAACACGCCTTTTTGAAATATGTGAAATAAAACATATTATAGATTATGCTACTATAATATAATGGTTGATATAAAGTTTAACATTATATATACGTGACAACATTTGTAATTTTACACATCACATAAATTTTATAATAAATGCATTTACACATTTATGTCATCTATTATTGTAGTGGCCCATTCGATTCTTATAATTTCTTGTACTTTATTCTATTTACCTGTATAGTAATTGTGTTGTTTGCTTTTATTTGATGTGCATTGCTTGCTTTTATTTTATTTTATGCGAATTGCTTGCCCTTAGGTTATTTTATCTAATTGTTTTATTCTATGTGTATTACTTGTATTTTATTTTATCAGTTCGAAATATTTCGAGAAAATTTCGTCAAATATTTTGTTTTCCAAGCGAGCCTTGGGATAATTACCCGGCCCAGTTTAATTAGATCTTTCGGCCCTTTTAAAACTCTTAAAACCGGCCCGTTTGTGCTTGATAAAAATCGACCCAAATAGCTTGCAAATTCGGCCCATTACACCTCAGACCAAGCCCTAATACCATTCATTATTAAGGTCCTAATTTCCTTTTCTTTCAGCCGCAACTCGTTTTTTTTCCCTTTCGTTCAATCTCTCCTTCTGTGGTTCAATCGACCTCTCTCTCTCTCTCTCCCAAGATCTCTCAAAATTTGTCGAAAAAAATTCACCGTCTTCCTCGGCCTTCAGCCACGCACGAGAACCCCTGCCGAGCCCCTTCGTCGGCGCCGCACCAGTGAACGTCTTCCAGCGGGTTCGAGCGCACGCAGCCCAACGACAATCTTCCGGCGTTCAAAGCTCCGACCGGCGAGCGTTCGCACGCACGACCATCGTCCGACGAGCCCAGTCCTTCGGAGGCATCGCATAGTCACCGCGACGTCCGGGCTGCGACCTCGGACGGGCCTCTACCTCCGACGACATCGGGCCTCGATTTCCGCCGGGCCGTGGCTGCTCCGAGCCCCGACCATTGTTCGGCGATTTTGAGCTCTCGGCGACCGAGCTCTGTTCAGCCCCGTCCTTCGGCAACTGCTGGGACCTTCGACTTCCAGCCACGTCCTCGACCTGCGACCGACGACCAAGGCTCCCTCCGGCAACCTTCAAACCGGAGCCATAGACGAGACCAGCAGCGAACAGCCGCGAAATTTTTTAAGTCCCGAGAAAGGTACAACGGCTGAACCTTCATGCCTCTGTTTTGGCCGAGAATGTTTGGTTATGTACTTGAATGATGTGCTATTTGTGTACCCGGTTGGGCTGTGTTGTTTGAGGCTGTTATATGGAAATTTTCATGCTCCAGTAATGTATGTCTTGGTGCTGAAAAGTGTTGATCTTGCTTTTTGGTGTTGAGTTTCAGCCCTAAGTGCCTTGTGTTTCATGCTTAGAACCTTTAGTTTGAATAAGGAGCATAGCAAGTCTTATGTGAATTTTTTTTAAGTGATTTCGGCCTTGAATTATGTGAATATTGCTGAACCTTTAGTGCCTGATATATGCTGAATTTAAGTGTATTTCAGAGCTGGTTGAGCATTATTTTTCAGTCAATTGAAGTGATTAAAAAACATGCGATTTGTGGTGAGGTTTTAGAATTAAGGAGCATATTGACATGTTGTAGTTTTCCCTTGAATTTTTGTCAAGTCCTGTTGAGCTTGTTCTTGGTGTATATGCTGTTATTTTGTGCATATCAGAGGCTTTATGCTCAGTATAGATACATGTTCAAGCGTGTTAAAATCTTGAATTAAGAGGCATGATGTTTTGATTTTATATCACGTGATTTAGGGTTTGTTTTGATTGATTGTTGAAGCCCCTGTTCAGAGTATTTTTAGGCTGAAAAACATAGAGTGTTGAATTGGGATATTTTCAGTCATAAATCAGTTCTTAAGCAGGCCTAAAGTGTTGGAAAAGAAAGAGCTAGAATGTTGTGTTCAGTGCCTTGTTTTGGTTTGATCTCGTGCTTGGTTGTTGTTAGCTTTGTCCACGTATGGTTGATGTAATGTAATCCTCTCATATGTATATGATAGTGGCATATTGAAAAGAACATTTTTCGTTTGAAAATTAGTGCAAAATGATGTTTTTGGGACTGAAACCATACAAGGCCCTGCCCATGGGTTTAATTCATAATTATTACAAAACCCAACTGTATTAAGAGCACCTAGTGTGTGTATTTATGAGGGCCCAATTAGTTTCAACTATAACTTGTTCTTTCCTCTTCCCTCTTTCAAATTAGGTTAGAGTTCGTTTAGCTTGTCGCCCTCCTGTGAATCTCTCTATTTATCTCTCCTTCGATTTATCGCAACGGCGATTGTTTGCGACATGGGGAAAAGAGAGAACGAAGGTCAAAGCGTGGGAACATTCCTAGTCAGAGGAAGATAGAAGAAAGAGAAAAGCTCTAGTAGGAGCTATCGACAGCGACGACGAGGCGAACGAGGACCTCAGCTTGAGAATTGTCAGAAAGCCATGCAGCGAGCAGTTAGAAAGGATCCCCGAGAAGGTGGTGTTTCTGAAATAGTGATGGATTTGAAGGAGAAGAAAAAGAAGAAAAAGGAGAAAAGGAAAAGGGCAAAGGAAATCGAAACTCTTGAAATTTCAGTAAGCGTTGAATTTATGTTTAATTAATTTGAAAAGTTGGTGTATTCTCAGTTTAATTAGTTTGTACTGTATGTTGATGGCTGAATTGATGGGATCGTACTATCATGTTGCAATGTTTGAGGTCCCGAGTGACATAGATACGGGTTTCAGAGAGTTCTGCGGGGACTTGGTAAGTGTAGTTAATTGAAGTTGTTTCTCTTATAGTGGGTTTCATACTTGTAGTGAACTATGTTTTTCATTTTTGTTTCGTGGTAGCTAAGGTAGGTTAAAATTAGTATATGTGTGTTGGTGTCAATGAAATAAAGGGGTTGGGCTGGAGCAGCATGGATGTCTAAATGCTTGAAATAAAAAGTACTTGTAGACATTTACACTTGGAAAGTGAAAATAGATTCCATTCTCTTGGAGTAAAGAATAAGAAGGTTGTCTGTGATGTAATTTTGCAGGTTTGATGATTTTGTTTGGTTTCTCTTATTTAACTAATTAATGTGAGTTGTTGCCCGCTCTTTCATGAAAATGGTGGTGTTGGAACTTGGGTCTGAGCTAGTATGCTTTTCCCCTATGATTCAGGTTGATAATGTGATGGATGAATATACCTTGAAAGATGAGAAAATTGTGAAGGATGGTGAGGAACCTGAGACTCATAAAGTACCTGAAGTTTCTAATAAAGCAGTTGAAACAAATCCTGTTGAGGCGTCAGATAATGCTGTGTTAAGGAAACTTCTTGTGAGTTAAAGTAGTTTGTGTGCAAGAATCAATTTTTGAGATAACAAGCAAGTGGTTTATGATAACTATCATGATGCCAGCGGGGGCCCAGGTACTTTGATCCTCCAGATGGCAGTTGGAGAGCATGCTATAATTGTGGGGAAGAGGGTCATACAACTGCCAACTGCACTTCAGCCAAGCGAAAGAAACCTTGTTTTGTTTGTGGGAGTTTCGAACATAATGCAAAGCAGTGTTCCAAGGTGTGCGCTCGAAAAGGACTGCTTGCCTCGACACTATTACTATTATTTTTTGACTTATCATATTTGAAGGATTATTCATGCGACATACATTGTTTTTCAATTTTCATTTACTTTGTGGCGACTGCAGAAGGAAACAGTACACCGGTTTGCTATTTTGGTAGTGTGATGCATGGTAGCTTCTGTCATATGCCTATATTTTATCCTCTTTCTAATTACTCGACTTTTCAATGATGCCTTGCCAGGAATATGGAGGAAGATGAACATTAATCTTTTTAAAGATTTGTGACTTTTAAATGAATGGTAGCTTGTGTCACATGCCTGATAAGTAAATCTTTGTCTGGATGCTATATTAGTGTGTTAGTTGATGGAAAAGGTTTAAATGCCTAGCTGCATTTAGGAAGATAACCATTGATATTTTTTAGTGATTGCTCATTTGTATTGAATACCTGGAGGCTTTTATTGTATGTGAATTGATACCTCTACGCTGTTGCAGAAGGTTCTTATTTTTATCCTCTCATTTATTTATTGGTAGGGACGAGATTGTTTTATCTGCAAGCAACAGGGACATCTCGCAAAAGATTGTCCTGATAAATGCAACGATTCGAAGATATGCTTGAAATGTGGAGATTCAGGACATGAAATGTTCTCATGCAGGAATGAATATAGTCCTGATGATTTGAAGGTCCTCATTTCAGTAGATTACAGTATTATGTGTTGTTCCAGACTGTTTTATTTCTTATTTATTATTTCATTTTGCAGGATATTCAATGCTACATTTGTGGACAATTTGGCCATCTCTGTTGTATAAACTATAGCGATCCTTGTCCCACTGAGGTTTCTTGTTATAGATGTGGTCTATCCGGACACACTGGTCTGGTGAGTTTGGTTGTTTTAGTGATTTTTTTCATGCTTTTTCGATTCATTAAGATGGTGAAAGGCCCTTGGTGTGAATCTATTATTATGGTGAACAAAGAATTTTTTTTCCCTATAGTGGTATGGAATTTAAACCACAAAGTAATTAGCTCAGTGGCCTCAAGTTCATGGTATGGTTTGAAGAATATAAAATTTGTCCGTGTGGGTTGTTCTGGATCCTTTGAAGTGAGACTACATAACTACCTTCTTTGATTTCATATGCCTTGTGAATGATTATCTGCTTGCGAAAAAATTGTATTTTATCAAATGAATTCCTAGGGCTAAAAATAAATTAGAGGTTATCTTGTATTGTGAGTTTGTTCACAGCAGACTTTGTGTTCCTTTATGGATCGTCTTAGATTTGCCATTTTATATGGTAAATCGCATTTCAGAATTGGTTATTTGACAGTTTATTATTCAACCAGGCTTGCATGGGGTCCAATTTGGATACACACAACTCGGCTACTGCTAGTTCATGCTACAAGTGTGGTGTAGAAGGACATTTTGCTCGTGAATGTTCCAGCTCGGTTAAGGTATAACTGCAGAACACTTCCCTTTAAGTGCTGTGCTACCCACTTTTAATCAAAGAAAAAAAAAAGTTGTGAAAATACAAATAGCCCCTTAAGATATATATATATATATATATATATATATATATTAATAATACACGAGTGTTTTATATCCCAACTTGCTTGGGACTAAAAGGCTATGTTGGGTTTCATCTCTAGCCTACCCCAACTTGCTTGGGATTAAAAGGCTATGTTGTTGTTGTTGTTGTTGTTTGAGTGTTTTATATCCATAACCAGTATTCTCCTGTCAGTCATAAAGGGTCGTATGTATAATTTTCAAATTTTTGGTTTTATTTGTTATTAGACTACAACTTTGAAATTCACCATTCCATAAATCGCATATTTTGGAAATTATGCCAGGCTGTTAAGAGAAAACGCGAACTGTCAACGCCCAAACAAAGATCTTCCAAGAAGAAGAAGGGCCGTAAGGAGCCCCATTCTGATATTGGGAAAACACGAAAGAAGCAAAAGTCTCAATTTGGAGAATTCGCCTCAGCCTCAAGAATGAAATACAAACGTGGTTGGACCACTGAACATCCTGCAGATTACTATTATTATAGCCATGCAGCCAGTGCAGATAACTGGAGTCAGAACAGAGATCGATACACTAGTTCAAATGGAAACTATGAATCAAGTTGCTATTCTTCCCAAAAGAATCGCAAGATCAATTTTCACAATTCACCGGCAAATGGATCTCACCAGCACAGGTACTCGGCATCTGAGATTTGATTATTATAACGATCATGACAGTAGGGGAAGAAATAGTAATTGGTGGTAGAGAATTATTTATAAAGCTAATGAAAGCGAGCTTCCGGGTGTAATTGGTCAGTGTAGATCACTGCTGAAAAGCATTGCTTTTAGCACCACAAAAATAATGGAAAAAATACTGCCGCTTATTATTATTTTTACCCAAGTTGTTTGCTGTAATACTCTGAAATTTTTAGTTGCTTAGTTTATTTATATGATTTTTCACACAAGTTGTAACCAGTATTCTCCCTTGATGCTATATTTGTGCATTTGTTATTAGGTTTTTTGTCTAATACAACCTTATCACTCGATCGGCTCGAAATTTATACCCAATGTTGACACGGTAAACAATGCCATTTTATGTTTCAACTAAGGATTTAATTGATATTAGTACTCATTTACTATTTACTGCCTTCCTTTCATAGTTTTTAAACCCGGCCCGGTGATCGACCCGGGCAGGTCCTCGGGTCACCGGGTCACCGGTTCAACCGGTCGGGTCATCGGGTTAATTGCTGAACTGGATAATTAATTTTAAAATTTTTAAAATTATATATAGAGTATTTCTATTATATAAATATACATAAAAGTAACAAAATTAAATGTTTTGTGTATAAAATTTGTATATTAAACTTTTAATAATATGTATCTCATGATAAATATTTACCATATAAACATATATACATATTATTATTTTTAAAAAACAAAAAAACTAAAATAAAAATATAAAAAATATATATGGATCGGGTTAACTGGGTTGACCCGGCCGGGTTAATGCCTCGGGTCGGTCGGGTCGGTCGGGTTTTGACGGGTCCTTGGTTGCCCGGTCCAAATACTCTACCCGGACCGGTTCCGGCTCCGGGTCGACCGGGTCCCGGGTCGACCCGCCAGGCCGGTCCGGGTCTCAAAACAGTGCTTCCTTTACTAGTCACCGCCCACTTTTTTACTCTT